ATTAGTTCTGGGTTTTTTTTTTTTAAGATTTTATTTATTTTTAGAGAGAGGGGAAGGAAGGGAGAACAAGGGACACTGAAACATCAATGTGTAGTTGCCTCTTGTGCGCCCCATACTGGAAACCTGGCCTGGAACCCAGGGATGTGCCCTGACTGAGAATTGACCTTGTGACCCTTTGGTTCACAGGCCAGAGCTCAATCCACTGAGCCACACCAGCCAGGGCTTATTAATTTTGTTTTGTTAGTAGTGTTTTCAAAGTTCAATAATTCCCTTTGCTTTTGAAATGGATGAGGTACTCATCTTGGAAGGGCAATGTCTAAGTTGTCTAGCGGCGTTGTGTTGCGTTTTCTGTGTCAGATTTCATTGTTTGCTTGTGTCCTCGGGTGCTCTGTATTTGGGTAACTAGTAATGAAAATTGTTGCCCTCCCACTCTCTTTGGTGTTATTTCCATGGAATATTTTTTTTGAAGACTTAATTATTTATTTTTAGAGAGATTGGTTGGGAAGGAGAGAAAAAACATCGATGGGTGGGTGCCTCTCATACACCCTCTACTGGGGACCTGGTCCACAATGCCAGCGTATGCCCTAATTGGGAGTGGAACCATCAGCCCTCTGTTTTATAGGCCCTTGCTCAGTCCACCGAGCTGCATCAACCAGGGCTGCGTGGATGCTTTTTATATCTCCTTATTTTAAGCATATTTGTGTCCATAAAGATTTAGTGAGTCTCCGGGAAGCAGCACATGTTGTGTCCTGGGGACTTTTTTTGCACAACACAATGTAAACCCATCCAGGCATCAGTTTATTTATTTATTTATTTACTTATTTCTATAGATTTTTTCATTTTTAAATACATTGACATACATCATTATATTTGTTTCATGCTTAGACATTTTGTAACTTACTAAATGATCATCTCTATAAATCTCACACCCATCTGAAACCATACATAATTAGTAGAATGTTATTGACTATATTTCCTAGGCTTTACTTTACATCCCCATGAATTTTGTGTAACTGCCCATTTGTAAGTTTTAATCTCTTCACTTCTTATACCCATTGTAAGAATTGATTTTTTAGAGATTATTTATTTATTTATTTTTAGAGAGAGGAGAAGGGAAGGAGAGAAATATCAGTGTGTGGTTGTCTATGGTGCACCCCCCAAATGGGGGCACGTCCACATACCAAACATGTGCCTGACTGTTAATCCAACCTGTGACGTTTTGCTTTACACTCTGCACTCAATCCACTGGGCCACACCAGCCAGGGCTGAATTTTTGTATGTCTTTTTTGAGCCAAACTGATGACAATGGCCAGGATGCAAGATCTCAAATGCTTTGTTTTATGTTTTTTATCCCTTTTCCCACTCTGTTAAGGGGAGAGACCTGGTTCTTCTTGCTGATGCATGTAAAAAAACTACAGATCAACAAATCTATTTGCATGTAATCAGTTTATTAGTGACCTGTTCCCATGGAAGAGAACAGGGCTGGGTAGATTAGGGGGTGAAGGTCAAAGTTTCAGGGCAAAGCAGGGAGGCAAAAGTAAGAGAGGCTGAAGACTAGGGTGGCAAGCCCCCAGGCAGCCTGAGGCCAGGTGGTCAGAGGCCCAGTGGCCTGGCAGCCAAGATCGCCTAGAGTGCCCCGAGCCCCCGAGAGAGAGTGAGTCTGTTGTTCTGAGGACTTATATAGTTGGTGGGATAGAAGGAAAAAAAAGTTACATATTAATTAACAGGTAAATGTGGTACCAGCTTTCCTGGGGGAATGTGACTACCCAAACTTAGGTATGTGTGGGGGTCTGTTAGCTCCAATCCTTATCTTGCTCCAGACTCCATTTGTTCATCTTGTTGTAAAATAAATACATGACAGGAGGCAGTTCATTAAAATCGGGGCACTTTCCAAAGTTATTATGGGCTCTTTCTGTAAGCATTAGGGACTCCTTCGTAAAACAGATAGTGACCAGAGGTAGATAATTAACCAAAGTTGCTTCATGGGCTTCCTCTTTGGGCACCATGGACATTCTCCCACATTCCAGGCCTTGGGATGAAAGCACAGTATCAGGGCTTTCTTTCTCAGATAGTGGAAGTGCTACATAAAATTTCAAGGACTTCCCTTCTTTCTTGCCAACATAGTGTTTCTTGTGATGTTGGAACACCTGGCAATACTATCAGACCAGGCTTAGGACTGCTGAGTTAACGTGTGAGACCTGTCTCCTTTCTCCTTCCTCCCTCAGTTTACTATTTAATTTACCTAATTGGTAAAAGGTGTTTCCTGGCAACCAGGGTGCTAGCTGCTGGCCAGTAACAGTATTGCAGTCTCAGAGTTCTTCCTATGCTGTCTCCTGCCTCAACTCTGTAACCTTGATTGGAAAATTTCTTGGAGAACATACTGTTGCCTCCTTGTCATGTTTTCTGCCTCTTGTGGAGTTCCTTTATTGCCTTCCTATTTTGCTGTCTTGTGTGTGTATGTGTGATTTTATTCCCTTCTCTTTTGTGTATCCATTACACAGTATTGTGCTTGTGGTTTGTTTTGATTAGACTTACATAAAACTCATACTCTTAACAGTTCATTGTAATCAAAAACAGCTTCACTACATGCAAAACTTCTACCCTGTCACTCTGCCACACCACTGCTTTATATGTATTGATTCACACTTCACATCTTTCTATATTGTGTACCTATTGACAAATATGTCACCATTGTTATTCATAATACACTTTATTTTTGTTCTATACAATAGAGTTAAATGAAGTACATCCACCAATGAACTGTCTTAGTATTGTGAACCTGATGACATCCTGGCTTTACCAGAAAGTTTTACAGTTTTCTACGGTTTCCTGTTTCTGTGCAGTATGCCTTTATTTCATCTCAAAGATTTTTTTTTAGCATATCCAATAAGTCAGGATTAATGGAAATTAGCTTCTTCACCTTTTGTGTTTCCAGGAAATTTTTTTTCTTCTGATTTCTGAGGATGAGGTTTGGGGGATAGTGTTCTTGTAGTGTTTTGAATATATCATGTGACATTCTCCAAAACCACAAGGTTTCTTCAGAAAAATCTATTGCTGCCCTTATGGAAGTGTTTTCCTTACTTGAGGAGCTTCTATTGTCTTTGGTCTTTGAAACTTTTTTTGGTTTTGATATTTGACCCTTTTATTAGAATATCTCATGCTGAAATCCTGTTTGCATCAAATGTGTACAGGAACCTGAGAGGTGTTGTACATGGCCATTCACATTTCTTTTTCCGATTTTGAAGTCAATCTTTAGCTTGTGTTTTAAAATAAATATTTTACACCTCTCCTTCCCCTCCAGTTTATCTATGTGTTTTGAATCTACCTCTGTTTGCTGAGCCAGTCTTCTTGCTTTCCTTTTGTGTAGCTCTTTGTATATGCCCCACTTTGTAGCTCTTAAGAATAACTGGTCTGTTAAGCCTCTTTGCCTTTCCTGAAGGGCTTGCTGTTTAGCATGGGTAGTTGTCTAATTATTTTCGAAGGGGGTTGAATACTTGTATTTTTTCTTCTTCAGCCTTCGTGTGGTCACTGACATAGATATTGTTCTTTTGGTTTTTTGCTGCAGAGTTTTTCTACGACTTTGTTGGTCAGTCATCTCTTCTGCTTTCTCTTTGGAGTTGAATCATCAGTATTCCATGTAATTACTCTAATGGTAGGGGAAGGAACAGTCCTTTATGTATCACAAGAGGGATAGGCAACCAGCCATGACAGGATGGGCTCACAGGGGATCTGGCATTGGTGAATGTCATTGGAGGAGAATTTGACTCCAAGGCTTGGTTAAAACCTAATGATAAACCTGTTCTGTTTAATTATATTTTGTCACCATTGCCAGTAGCCACACATTAATCAACTTGTCCTTTCCCAGTGTTGATACCTTATCAGTTTGTTACTTTTAATAATTTTCCTTTGCACTCTTGGTTTCCAGCAATGGATAATCTCTGCCTATCTAACTATACACCACAACCCTTTTTCTGAGGCATCTTTTTCATGTGCTTTCCCATTATGATCAATGTATGTTGCATCTTGAAGTGTCTATATATTTCTATAGAAACCTAGCACAGCATCTGCTCTACTGTTGTTGATTTTCATTGTTTTGGGCACACTCATATCTTCCACACAGTCTTACAAGACAAGCACAGAGGATTTTGCAAGTAGCCCCTAACAGTGGAATAACTTGTAGAGCCAGCATCTCTTCCTTGGGTCCTGTCCCATCTTAGTACCCTTTAATTAATGAGTTGCCCATTATTATAGACAGGAGGCACTTTTTTTGAGTCTCTCCTTTGTCTTGGAAATCATCCCATAGAATCATGCCAGATGTTACAGATGCAAATTAGTGATGAGAAAACCCTCTCCCTGTGGGTCAGTATGGACTTCACTAGCATTTGTTTTTCTTCAGGTTGTTGCTGTGCAGCAGAGCATGTGGTGGCACCCACTGAACAGAATGTTTCTATAAAAGTCTCAAAGGCTATGAATCTGAAGTCAACACCATCTTCCCAGAAGAGCCACCCATGTGAGAGTTGTGGGTGCATTTTGAGAGACATTTTCCTCTTGGTTGACCAGCAGGGAACCCAATAGGGCCCAGCACTGCTGAGGTGTGGGGCATGTGCAAAACCATTTTATTTCAGTGCAGAGAGTCACAAGCTCCAGGTTTTGGAGGACACAAAAAAGAATTGTTTCATAAGCAATGTGGACAGGGTCTTGCTAGCAAAGAGGTACAAATTCTATGTGCCATGGAAGCCTTGTACCTCTAGACAGGTTGAAAAATGTTTCCTCATCAGCTCTGGATATCATGAGGAACTAGTTGCTTACACCATGCACAGCGAAAACAAAATCTGTAAGTCTGGAATGAATTTTCAAACTGCAAAATATTACACCCCAAGAGAAAGAAAGAAAGTCATTGGCTGTGATAACACACATATTGAGGACCCAGAATTCCTTACTGGAAAAGAGCATTTCATGTTGTGAATGTGGCAAGTCTTTTATCAGAATTTCATCCCTCCATGTTCATCGGAGAGTTCACACCAGAGAAGGGCCTTATAAGTGCAGTGAATGTGGAAAATCTTACTCCAGTTACTCTGGTTTCCATCCTTATCAGAAAGTTCACACTGGAGAAAGGCCTTATGAGTGTATTGAATGTGGGAAATGTTTTAAACAGAGCTCTACCCTCTGCCATCATCACAGAGTTCACACAGGAGAAAGGCCTTATGAGTGCAGTGAATGCAGAAAATGTTTTACCTGTAGATCTTACCTCCTTCTTCATCAGAGAATTCACACTAGAGAAAGGCCTTGTGAGTGCAGTAAATGCAGTAAATCTTTTACCCAGAGCTCTGCCCTCCGTGTTCATCACAGAATTCACACAGGAGAAAAGGCCTTTTAGTTGTGGTGAATGTGGAAAATCTTTTACCCATAGCTTTTTCCTTCATCATCTTAAGAAAACTCACACTGAAGAAAGCCTGTATAAGCCTGGTGAATATGGAAAATCTTTTAACAGTAGCTCTAAACTTTGTCTGCACCACACAGCTCACACTGGAGAAAGGCCTTATAGGTGTAGCGAACATGGGAAATCTTGTACCTGAAGCTCTGCCCTCCACTTTCATGAAAGTGTTCACACTGGATAAAGTACTTATGAATCCACTAAATGGGGAAATACTTTTTTGTCTACTATTCACCTCAGTTATCATCCAAGTTTCATACCTAGAAACAATAGTGTGGTGAATGTGGGAAATCTTATCTGTTCCATTAACTATCATTGTTATCAGGGACTACACACAAGAGGAAAGTTTTATGGCTGCAGGGAATGTGGGAAATGTTGTTTAACCAGTAACTTTCTTTATCCTTGGAGACCTCACATTAGAGAAAGGCCTCATGAGTGCAGTGAAAATGGGAAAACCTTTTTCTGTAGCTTTCCTCTCTGTTGTCATCAGAGAGTTTTCCCTGGAGAATGGCTTTATACCAGCAGTGAATGTGAGAACTCATTTCCCTGTGTCAGTACTTCCCATTATTGTGAGAGAGTTACACTGCAGAAATGTGTTTTCAGTACTGTGAGTATGGCAAATCTCTTACCAGTAGCAACAATTTTATAAGACAGTTTACAAGGACTAATTTTTTATAAGTTTAGAATATTTGGGAAATCATTCCTTTCATGCACCTGGAGCTGGACTAGGGTTGACCCCTAACCTAGGTATGTGCTCTAATCCATAATCAATTTTATATCGTTTTGGTGACTGGATGATGCTCTTTCCACTGATCCACACTGGCCATGGCTCTCTCCCTCTTTCCTCAGTCTCTTTCCCCTCTCTCTAGAAATAAATAAGCAAATAAATAAATAAGTAATGTTTGAAACATACATCTATTCAGTGTCAGAATCAGACTATCTTATTTGATATTCAACAGCATGGGTGAAAAAACATTCAAAATACTTTTGGGGGATGTTTTATACTTTCCGCATAAGAGGAACTAAAATAACCTTTTGTAAAATTACTCACAAATAGAGTCCTCGAGTTTTTTGCCCATTCACATGACTTTTGTCTAAAACATGTCTTCTTGTACCAGCCTGGCCCTGCCACCACTGTGCTTGGCTGAGTTCAGAGATCTGTTGTAACCTGTAGTTTCCCTGGCTCTCCTCTCCTGACAATTTAGAGTGACGCACAAATGAAACCAAACATGACAGAGGTCTCAATAGTTCTTTATTGATTTCAATTGGTTAGATCTACCCATAACTGAAAGAGGAATATTTAAATTGTACTATTTTAGTACTTTTGTTATGTTGTATGCTGTATTATTGTTATGTTGTATTTTCTGACTTCAGATCTTATATTGTTTGCTTAATATACTGACCTAATATACTTGGGTGTCTGTGGTTGGATACATAGTAATTAAAATTGTTACCCTCTTAATAAAAAGACTCCTTTTTCAATTTATGGTCACCATTTTCTCTTGTGAGAATATGTGAGGTTGTCTTTTTGTCTGATACAATTTTATTTTTTATTTTTTAACTCTAATTTTTAAAATATTTTATTTATTGATTTATCTTTAGAGAGAGGAGAAAGAGAAGGAGAGAAACATCAATGTGTGGTTGCTTCTTGCATGCCCCCTACAGGGGACCTGGCCTGCAACTTAGACATGTTCCCCAACTGGGAATCAAACCAGCGACCCTTTGGTTTGCAGGCAGGCACTCAGTGCACTGAGCCACACCAGCCAGGGCTGTCTGATACAATTTTACCTAGTTCTGCTCTCTTTGTTTTTATATGTATGAAATATTTTTTAAAAGATTTCATTTATTGACTTCTGGCCAAGGTGGAGGCGGGGGTAGACACACTGTGCCACCTTGCACAACCAAAAGAAGGACAACAACAATTTAAAAACAAAAAACAACCAGAACTGACAGAAAATCGAACTGTATGGAAGTCCGACAACCAAGGAGTTAAAGAAGACATTCTTTCAGACTGGTAAGAGGGGCAGAGTTGGGCAGCTCCCAGCAAAGTGGCAGCTGGCGGACCCAGCGAGGCGGTGGATTGTGGAGTGGGGCATGGCAAGCAATGCTGCAGCTGGCCAGCAAGAGAGCGGTTGGCAGGTGGTCCCACATTTGTGTATAGATAAACCAGGCAAAACTGGGGAGTGAGACAGACCACGCAACCCAGGGTCCCAGCGTGGGGAAATAAAGCCTCAAACCACTGACTGAAAACACCTGCAGGGGTTGAGGCAGCAGCTAGAGAAACTCCCAGCCTCACCGGAGAGTTCGCTGGAGAGACTCACAGAGTCCTAGAATGTACACAAGCCCACCCGCACAGGAATAAGCACCAGAAGGGCCCAGTTTGCTTGGGGGAAGCAGGGGAAGTGACTGAAATCTGACAGAGAGTGGAGCAAGCACCATTGTTCCCTCTCAGACCTCTGCCCCACATACAGCATCACAACCCAGCGATGTGGGTTACCCTGTCCTGGTGAACACCTAAGGATCCACCCTTCCATGCATAACAGGCTTGTCAAGACAAAACAAAAAAAAATGACCCAAACTAAAGAACAGATCAAAGCTCCAGAAAAAATACAACTAAGCAATCAAGAGATCGGCAACCTATCAGATGCACAGTTCAAAGCACTGGTAATCAGGATGGTCACAGAATTTGGTTGAATTTGGTCACAAATTAGATGAAAAAAAATGAAGGCTACACTAAGTGAAATGAAGGAAAATGTATAGGGAATCAATAGTGATGGGAAGGAAATTGGAACTCAAATCAACGGTGTGGACCAGAAGGAAGAAAGAAACATCCAATCAGGAAAGAATGAAGGAACAAGAATTTTAAAAAATGAGGAGAGGCTTAAGAACCTCCAAGATATCTTTAAACATTCCAACATCTGAATTATAGGGGTACCAGAGGAGAAGAGGAAGAGCAACAAGTGGAAAAGTTATTTGAACAAATAATAAAGGAGAACTTCCCCAATCTGGTAAAGGAAATAGACTTCCAGGAAGTCCTGGAGGCTCAGAGAGGTCCAAAGAAGTTGGACACAAGGAGGAACACACCAAGGCACATCATAATTACATTACCCAAGATTAAAATTTAAGGAGAGAATCCTAGAAGCACCAAGAAAAAATGAGACATTTAACTACAAAGGAGTTCCCATCAGACTGTCAGCTGATTTCTCAAAAGAGACCTTACAGGCAAGAAGGAGCTGGAAAGAAGTATTCCAAGTCTACGAAAGGCAAGGACCTACATCCCAGATTGCTCTATCCAGCAAAGCTTTCATTTAGAATGGAAGGGCAGATAAAATGCTTCCTAGATAAGGTCAAGTTAAAGGAGTTCATCATTACCAAGCCCTTATTATATGAAATATTAAAGGGAGTTATCTAAGAAAAAGAATATAAAAAACATGTATAGTAAAATGGCAGCAAACTCACAATTAACAACCACACCTAAAACAAAAACAAAGTAAGCAAACAACTAGAACAGGAACAGAACCACAGAAATGGAGATCACATGGAGGGGTATCAACAGGGGAGTGGGCGGAGGAGAGAGGGGGAAAAGGTACAGAGAATAAGTGGCGTAGATGGTGGGTAGAAAATAGACAGGGGGAGGGTAAGAATAGTATGGGAAATATAAAAGCCAAAGAACTGATATGCATGACACATGGACATGAGCTAAAGGTGGGGAATGTGGGTGGGAGGGAGTGTGCAGGGTGGAAGGGAGTGAAGGGGGGAAAACGGGACAAATGTAATAGCATAATCAATAAAATATATTTTAAAAAGATTTTATTTATTTTTAGACGGAGGGGAGGAAGAAACAGAGGGAGAGAAAATTCTGCATTTGGTCGTCTCTCATTTTCCCCCTACTGGTGACCTGGCTCACAACCCAGAGTTGTGCCCTGACTGGGAATAGAACCACCAACACTTTGGTCTGTAGGCCTGTGAGCAAATCTACTGAGCCACACCAGCCAGGGCTACATGGAATACTTTTACATCTTTTTTTTATTTTCAACCTATTGGTGTCTGTAAATATTTTTTAAAATTATTTTATTTAATTTTATATAGAGGGGAAGGGAGGGAGAAACAGAAAGTGAAAAATTGATGTTCAGGAGAATTATCAATTGATTGCCTCTTATACAGACTCACCTGGTGATATGGCCCGTAATCCAGGTACACACCTAGAGTGAGATTTGGTGCTCAACCCTCTGATCCACACCAGCTAGTGTGAGGAGTAGTTTTATCTGTATGTGGATAGAAGAGTGCTTGTTAGATGATGTGTTCTGTGCTGAAAGAAGTTTCAATTCCCATTCTTGCTGCCCTAGGAGCTGAGGTCAGAGTGCTGAAGACTTTAGGGTCTTCAGTGGGCAGGGCAGCAGTCTTCCCAATATTTAGTGATTTTTTTTTTTTGGAGTCTTTCATGGCATATATTGCTGGGGATATATACTGATGTTATTCCTTCATAAATGATATTGTCACCAAGGAGATTCCTCTTGATATCCATGCTGACAAACTCTACAAGCTCCTTTGAAATGAAATTTATGAGAAGTTGCAGACATTACTGAGAATCCTGAAGTACTCAGAGACAATGGTTGCCATGGTCATTCACAAACAAGGCCCTTACAGTCCATGGGAGCACATGCTCAGTGGCTTGGAAAGGAAACACTCATCCTTGTCTTTTCAATCTAACGATCTTTCCTAAGTCTGTCCTGCAATTCTTTCTATGCAATTTTTTATACTCCACGTATGCCTGTTTGGAAAAACTGGTCTCCTAAGCATTGCATGCAAGTCAATGAAGACTCACATAATGGTTTACATTTCTTATCAATAAAGTATTTTTAAATTAGGTATGTATGTTTTTATATTTCACCTAGTGTTATTGCATTTTTAATAGACCACAATGTGCACTTCGGAACAAATTAATGTGACTAGCTAGCTTTATTAGCATATTCAGTCAGTTAGTCTGGAACTTTATGTGCACTTTCTGGGCCAAATTCCTATAATGGCATGTCTTTCATGTCTTCAACATATACTCCATTGTTTGAAAAAATAATGTGTAATGTAAATTGAAGGCATCATCAGATCAAATCATGAGGAATCCAGTCCCACTGCTGCTCAGGC